GCCTAGAAAATGAACACTCTGAAACATGAAGTCAGGCTATCTACAGCTCTTAAACCTAAAAAGCCATTGCATAAACAGCGGAGAGATAACAATGAACTACAAGCGCTATGCACTTGGCAAGTCAAAGAGTTTACTAAGAGCAGTACAGTATGTCAGAAAGTTTTAGAACTCAATCACACTCTAACTTGATTTACATTTTCTGCTTTTAGCTCTTAAAACATTGAATGTGACTTAGAATTGTTATGAATCTTGTCAAGAGCTTGAGAACTCAACTCATTCTGGTGTGTTATCCAAAACATAAACAATTATCAAAGGAATTGACTGTCGGGTCATTTGGTAGGTTCGCACCCTGATCTGTGTTTGTTCATCATCATGTATTCAAGCTCTATTATCAGATGCTCAATCAGAAATAAGCGTAGACATGTACAGGACAGAGCACTTCTGTCTGCTGAAGTGGTTAGCAAAACTACACTTGAAGTTGTGTATTTCTGAAACTCAGAGTTGAGTTCAGAAACAAGTAAATGCAAAGTCTAAATAAGCAAGATGGAGGGATTTAGAACTTAGCTGGACTGAAAACGAGCAGATGCAGTCATCACCTAGCTTCAGAGTTGGGAACTGCTATACTAGAAAACAACATGACATCCAGTGACTCTTTAGAAGTTTTGCCAATCCAAAGTAACACTGAATTTTTCATCCTATACTGAGTCATCAAGGTGCTGTCGTGCTCTTCAAGGCTTGCTTGTTGACAAAAAACGAGTGTAGTTTCTAGTCCATTAGGGAACAGGAACACAGTACTTGTATATAACAAGTGCAAATATCACTTCTTTGTCTTTTCTCATTAAATGATGCCTTTTATCATCAAAAGGGCTGTTCGCTATTAGATAATAGTTTGAAAATTCATACCGCAAAAAAATTCCTCCTCAATAAAAACTGCTTTACTTAATAGTCTGGCTAAAGTGAGTTCTGACATGCAACCCTCTCGCTTTATCCTTGAATTTATATAAACAAAGAGCTTGAGAACCTATGGAAGCATCCCATTTCCAATCACCTTTCCCATTATTCAGAAAGAACAAAATACTTTGAAACAGGATATTATTGACTGTCATTTATACTTTTAGCTCTTTATGCTTCAAGACTTCCTGTCAAGAGGCAAAGTTATTGTTTTAAGTACAATCTGTAAACTGTGTGATAATTCTGTTTCACTTCCAAAGACATGATTCAATTACACAATATACTGTCTAATGCAGAAGGGCTCTATTATACCAATCAAAGTTTATTTATCAAATGCGGCGTGCAGCAGTAGTTGTTGGCAATGAAACGTCTTCTATATATACACACACACTATATATTCCAAATATAGACTGTACAGTCCATACTCTGTATTTTGTTACTGTACATTGCAAACCATATAAAGTGCATTGCTTGATATTCAGTACTTTTAAAATGCTCAATTGCCATTTTAATTCCCTTGTTCAAGATGCCACACATGTACTTGAAGGAGAATTAGTTGTACTGTTTAAAGCTATACTGCAAAAAAAAAAACGTACAATTTCATGTGATCTCTAACATTCGTGTAACATTCACATGAAGTACTAAAGACATTCTCTATGGTCCTCATATTACAATATATTCTAATGTTTTCTACAGGGGTAGAACAGCAACCAGATTGTGAGAACTGGTCTCTCTCGTAATATCACACCTAAGATCAAAGACAGAGATTCTGAAAACATAAAACCAAGAGCAGACGTTTGCAATAATGCCTTTGATACTGCAATACAACACTGTCATTTAAAGTTATAAATACATATCTTCTTTCAATATTCTACTTATTGGCATAACAATAGGGTGGTTTTCTAACTAGCAATGCATTTTCCCCATTGCAAATATAGTTATTGTTTTAGTTTGCTCCTAAGAAGAAACTGACTTTCATAGTATTTCTCATGTGTGTATAACAGGCAATTTACACTCAATATGAAAGGCAGAAAGGCAAGATAAAATACAGCTTGTTTAAGTCTCAATTTATACTCAGTATACAATTTGTTGTTCAAATGGCTTTATTTGTGGAAGTTTAACATCTCTGTCAAACTCGGGTGATGTTAAGATCACATACAAAACACTGCTCTATTCCACTAATTCTAATTCTACAATTGCCCATTTCAGTACCAGATGAAACATCTATAAGGACATGAAAGTGACAGCTAAGGTATAAATTAACCCCTTTGGCACTCTGAATACTAATAATGCTAATGGACTAAAGCAGGTATTTTGGATTCTCAGGCTCTTATTAATGTATTATTTTTCAAATTTGTTGAGGTCTCACAGCTTCAAACTCAGTAGAGCTCATTATTTGTCAAAAGACAATTTAAATATTGGAATATAGCAATTATTTCCAAAAAATTAAAAACACAGATGCAATAAGCTGTTTTAACCATGTAAATCATAGTCTTTTAGAAGCAGCACTTAGGTGGCAATTGCTTTTATAAAAACAAGAAAACTTGTTTGCACACTGTTCATATGGTAACACAAAGACTGATAGATGGCTGTTCATTTGCAGATGGAAATTGAAAACATGCTGTTCAAGATAATCAATTATTTTAAAGCATTTCTGGGCATGTTATACATACTTTCACCTTCTCAGTCACATAAGCTATTTATTGCTGTGCATGATCATTTGAAATAGTGAAATACTACCGCAATGCCATTGAAAGGTATATAACATCTGTACATTAAGAGTGGGACCACACACTAATCTGGTATTGTAGACTCTTGGTACACTCTTCTAAATAATAATTAATAAAAGTCAAACTGTCTTCAATAGAAGGTCTTTGTGTTTTCTAACCACTCAAAATACAAACAGCACTGTAAACTAATAATGTTAGAAATACTAACTTCCATAAGAGATCTTATTGAATATTAAATCATTATGGTGTTGGTAAGGTTTCTAAATATGGAGTTCTTCAAAATTATAACAAACAGCCCTTTACATTTCTTGTGTTTTTTTTTGCCTATTCTGTTTATCTTAACTCCATGGAAATACTGTACTTTTTCTTTCTCTGTTAAAACAAAAATCAAGATCCTCAAATTAGTTGTTTGATCTGAGTTTTAAACAAAAAACTGACACGGACTAGGCCAGATTTATCATTAATGTCATTTAAAAAAATTAGACACTGCAAACAGAGTTGAGAATTCAATGGTCCTCAAAAATGTAGAAAAGGGATAAGGTAAAATTATGATATTGATAATTATGATATAATGTGGTTAAAATTGGTTAACACCCTAATACAGCTTCATTTAGACTACTGCATACAGTTTGATCTTTAGGTTTGTAGAAAGACATTGCTGCTCTGTACTCAGTCCAGAGAAGAGCAATCAGATACATTCTGGGAATTAAAAGGAATGTCCTGTAAGTCTAAAAGCACAGGGGACCTGATACAAGCATTCAAAATCCACAAAGGGTTTGACAAGGACAAGGTCGGCGCAGTGGACATGCTCAGAATCGATAATGGAACAAAAACAAGAAAACAAGTAGAAACTATGTGGAAGTGCATTTAAAACTGAGAACGGGAGACACTTTTTTTTGCAAAAGTTTGTGAAAGTATGTTGTGGAAACACAGCCATATTGTTGAAGCTGATACACTAGCTTCTTTCAAGAAAAGGACCCACAAGATCATAAGTTCAATAAGCTACCAATTAACATACAGGCTGGTTGGGTCAAACGTCTCCTCTCATTTGTACCTGTTCTTCCAAAGGTAACATGATTTCTTAATTTTTATACATAAAAATTGGGTACTTTAGAGGGGTACACCTTAAGTGAATATAAAACCCAAAAGGAAAAAAGTGAAAAGAATTGAATTTACTTATCTTCCTGAGTATTTCATATAGATTACATAAACCCAAACCTAACTTTATTCTTAACCAAGCCCCTAACAAAAAATCTGGAACAGAATACAGCCAATAACACATAATTCAGTATTTGTATATAATATGATTGTTATTTCATATACTGTACCTACCAAGATGGGCGAGTTAACTCCAAGGAAACATCACGGTATCACTGAAACAGTCTTTTACTGCCACCAGGTGGAGTTTTAGAAAAAGCATAAAAACAACTTCAACAGAAAAGCATTTGTTTAATCTGTACATGCATTCACAAAAATTAGTAGAAAACTGAACCAATTTGTATTGATTTCCTAGTTTCCAAAAACAGAACAGGACAACTGCACTCACACCCCTGGGGGTTCTACAAGAAGTCCTCTAATATGAAGTGAGGCAACTACCATTGAGGCAATCATGCAACAAGCATTTAACTGCACAGGTGTCAGCACTCCGATCCCCTATCATCCCTGCCTCCAAACAATGATGTCGTGATAGGATAGAATCCAAAAATGCCAGTAAAGGGAATTTCGAGGTTCCCAAAACTACACCAACATCCGTTTCAGTAGGTCAGCCACAGCCCGATGAATAGAACATGTAGAAGAAACCCATGAAACGTTTATTTGGCACTTACTCTGTTGAAGAAACTGTAGCTTGTCCATGAGGACAAGGCTGACAGGACCAACCCATCCCCTCTCGTCACAAGGAACGAGCCAGGGAAGAGGGAGAGGTGCGAGAAGGAAAAAAACAAAAAGGGGTGCTCGGACGACAAAATATTTACACACAAGAGCAGTATCATCATCTGTTTTAAAACACCACTTAGAAACACTGAGGCCAGTCCAGAAGATGCTGTACATAGCAAGTTCCTTAAAAAAAAATAAAGACTGGTACTATTATTCAGCAAGAGAAATAAGATAATTGTTTTAAATAAAAACAAATACTGTGCAATACAATATGTGATGCTACCAAGATTAAAAGGAAATTTAAAAAGCCCACTACATTTTATATGCAACTGGAAACAGACAACAGGATGTTAGTGCACTTATTTCAGTCTTCAGAGAGTCAGCATATTAAAAAAAAGTCAAGTACAGAGAAGTCAATGAAATCCATCACCTGTCTTCAGCAAATGTTTTTATTTTGTTCGTTTGGCCATCAATAACAAAATGAAGAAAACAAGTTTTATTTTTCATTAGTAAACAATGAAAGTCATCCATTCAAATTCTGGAGCATAAAACTGTAGAACCAGGCAAGGGAAGATGCAGTCAGGGACCTACGAGTTTCACCTGAAAAGGTAATAAATGATGCTCATAGCAATCCTAGTTCACAGGGAAAAATAAAAATACAATATGAACAGTTTAAGATAGTCTGCAAACTTCACAAATAAAACAGCACATCTACATTGTAGCAATAAAGAAACTTGAACCTGTCATGCACCAAGCATTTGTCCTACTGTATATTTCACACAAACACATGCAGACACAAGAGGCCACTTTAGGGCTCATTAGTGTCCAGAGAGAAAGGATAATAGAAGTGAATATTACTACTAGACGTAAGCCAATAAGCAAAGAGAATTTCCGACCATACACTAACGGCAACATCCAACTAAAAAATAAAAACTTAAGAGACTGTAATGGAAAATGCCATGGAGAATAATCATCATGACTGCTAGGAAAAATGCAAAGTACAAAATGCCCTACTCTAGTAAACCTACTGTACAATAACAGGACTGCTTGGGAGATGCAAATCAAAGAACATTTACTCCCATTCTGGTTTAACAGTTATGGGTATTCTTGAGCAAGTCCACGGAATTCTGAAAAATGCTATAAACCCTTATGTACAAAATGAATACACAACACATGCCTTTTACATTCTAGGTTTAGTGAAATTAGTAATTTTTTTTGCATGAGTACTTGAGACTTTTTGAAATGTAAATGCTGCCAACACAATCTTAAAGGAAGCACATCTGCCTCTTACAATATCATTTTAATTTTATTCTCTTTAATAGCTATAGTAGACTGACAAATTTTATTCATGAGTTCAGCGCATGAAGAACAAAAGAACAAGATTATCCTCAGCATGAAAGCAAGCAAAAAAGATTAAAAGCACCCATTTACACAACAAATAAAACTTTGTTGTTGTTAGAAAAATGATTTCAGCTGCTGGATTCATATCCCGTTGTTAGACACAAACACTGTAGATAGAAGCACTTAGCTTTTAAGATTAGAAGCCATTTCTTAAATAAACACTTTTAATGAACTTACTTGCATATTAAAGATATTTGATAGTGAATGGCTAAAAGCTAATGTAACTATAAACACTAATGTCTTTGTACAATGCTGTTCTAAAGGTAGTATTGTGCTAATTTTCAGTTACACTAACATTTTTAAACATTTACTTTTTTAAAAGCATACACAACTTTCAGCTTGCACATTAAAATCAAAACTGTCCAACACTTTAGTAAATGCACTTTACAAAAGGATACTGCCTACTGCACTAAAAATGTTTTTTGAAGCAGTCATTTAGTCTATTCTGGCAGTCAAGCCAGGACTATTCACCTTCATTCACCTTAAAGAATGCATGAGCATTGCAATGAGCAGAGATTATAAGAAGACTTGAGAGTTATTACACTAGTATCTACTCTACTCAGTTGTGCCTTCATGCACAACATGCACAAAGTTTGTGTCATTTTGATGAGCAAAAATATACAGGTAATAATGCACACTCTAATATTTCTGACAACAATGGTACTCAAATAGAGGAAATGTTTTGTGGTACAATCAACAAGTACTACAAAACAACAGTTAGCTTTATTGTGACTATGATTCTTTACCCAGTTCTCCTTATTTTGACTGTGTTCACAATGGAGGATTATTTCCCCATTTATTCATCCTTAGTCCTTGGTTGATGTAGCCCAGCAGGTTTGATGAATAGTTTATATCCTCAATAAATTAAGATCTAAAACACTGACAATACAGACCAATTAAGTGAACAATTGATTCAATTCAAGTCAGTAAGAGTCCATGGATGAATGCAATCCAGAAGACAAGATGGACCAGGAATGAATATACGAAAAGAAAATCTTCAGTTTCGATTAACATGCACCCTTCAGTACAACTCAATGGGATCTATCCAATGTGTAGAGATGTTCCATAACATCGCTTTTAATTTATTAAAAGATTTATATCAGCATTTAAAAAAGATATTCGTCACCATATCTTTATCAGAATTTCTATATTACAAGACGGTACTGTGGAAAACGTCAAAACCTGCCCTTCTATAGGTTAATTTATTAAAATATGTTAGAGGTGTAAAGAACAGCGACTGAGACGTATCATATCTAAAAACACTCATTTTACACAAATCTGTCTGAACAGTAAAGCTTTAACGTCAATTCCTGAACTGGTGCATCGGTTATTTCGACAATTTTACATTAAAATTTAAGTGTGCAAAACTCAGTCCTAGAAGTAAGTGGATTTAGTATTGCATTACTTAAAAGAAAAACTCGATAAGCATCGGTTTACTCACTGAGAATAACTTCTCACCTTTCGTACCTTCGTATACCTTCTTTTTTTTAGATCCATTTACTCGAACCAAAGTCCAGCGAGTTTCGACTCCTAGAAACCAATATCGACATATAAATTTCCATTTTATCGTACATGATACATCAAACAAACATCAATGTCATATACATACCGGACATCTCTAAATGTAATTGTCATTGACCATCCAAGAAGTGAGTATAATCCTTTACAAACAAGCTGCTGCCCCTCCAGCAAGTTAAACCTTCCGACTCCTCTGTCCTCTTGTCTGCTAAAGTGGGCGGGGGAGAGTACTTGTTCTGAAAATGTTTCACTCTTTTATCAATTAGGATTTATTTCAAGATGTTTGCGTAATATGTAGAATTTCCAACTTTGTAGTGACACTTAGTTCAGAACATTATATCGTTCTTTAGAAATTCTTATGTAGCGTCGGATGCAAATATACAACAAATAATAAAACTATTTAACCTCATTTGTAATGGTCATCAACGTGGTTTTAAATCACTTAATCCATCGTGTCTGTTTGTAAAGTGCATGCAAAGTATTAAAAAGACTGACTAAATTGCAGTTTTTAAGTGAGAATTGCGTCTGTTTGTTCGTCTTGCCTATGTCAACATAACAAGTCTAAGGTTTACATGGTCACGCGGGTGTGAAAGATTCCACAAAATGAAAGAAAAATGTTGTTTCGTGTTTTGACAAAACGTGTAACTCTTTTAAACTGAAGTTTAATAAAGCAGTTTGAACACTTAACCGCCCTTTTGGGAGGAGCGTTTCCCTCCTCGTCATCATTGTCAACAGGGAAGCTGGAGCTGGAGCTGGAGCTGAGATGTGCAAAGGCCGGCATTTATTGTGAATTAAGATGTTTCTTTTTTGTGTTTCTTTGTTTTTTTTGCGGATAGTGTCAGCCTCCGAAAACCATGGAATGGAGAAAATACAGACGTTTGTCATCCCACACAGTCATATGGATGTGGGCTGGGTATATACAATACAGGTAGTGATTACACAGTATTGCACAGTATTTTTTCATGTTTACTGGATTATTGCAGTAATAACTACATATTTTGTATCAGATTTCTAGCTGCTGTAGGGGTCCGTGATTTATCTGAACCACAGTTCTCAATTTGGGTTTTCTTCCGCCGTTTTTTCGTAATTTTATAAAAGGATCCGTTTTTCTAAATGTGTTTATACCAATAACTTTAATTTTTGCGCGAACCATATCCGACTCAGGCCAGAGGTGTTAAGGAAATTAAACCAACGCGTCTTGCTAGTTGCACATGATAAATCATATGACACTGTGCCACGTGATATAGTTTACTGGATGTTCAAAAATGGATATCGAAAGGGCTTTGGTTAAAACTTTTTTGTGAACCGTGTTATCTGCAATACATTAGTTTTAATGTAGTTGAGAAGGTTCTCTAGTTTAGGCATGAAAACCTCAGAAATAGGACTCGACCAATAGTAGACGTGTCATTTGAATTATTGTATCAATATATTATTTTGTAAATATATCTTGTTTGTTGTGTAATTTGTGTGACACTACAGATAAAAACATCAACAAATTCAAGCAATGTGTTTAATAATGTATTATAAATAGGTAAACATGCAAATGGAAGGTATGTGGATGTGGATTTAAAACTGACCAGAACAGGAGACACTGTTTTACCCAAAGGGTTGTGGGAGTCAGAAACAATCTACCCAGCTGTGTTATTGAAGCTGATATCTTAGGTTCATTAAGGAAATGGTGGGATAAGATCCTAGGATGACTTACAGTAAGTGCTAAATACCAAATGAGTTGCCACCTCTCATTTGTACCCATTTTTATTTTCTTATTGTGCTTTCAACTAACATTAACAAATTACTATTTGTTACTTGCAGAATCTCAGCCTAGGTTATACATGCAGATCTATATGAGCTTTCACCAGACCGGCTGAGTTGAAGATTTCACTCTGGTTTTACAGAGGTGTCCTAAAATACCTCTGGAATATTCCATTGATGGGTAGAGGCCTCCGTCAATTGGATCAAGGAATATCATGAAGGAGTTGTCAGAGCACAGTGTTACACTCCCCAAAATGGATGTTGTTTTTGCATCCTTCTTGATAAATTGTAGTTTTAATAGTGAATTGCGTCTGTTTTTTTTTTTCTGTCAGCTGTATGTTTCGGCCTTCAACATGGTCATTTCTACATTTTTTAACAACAACAGTTATATCTGCTTAGCAGAAACACTCATCCAGAGCAGCATACAGAAAATAGGTTTAGAATATACAGAAGTGCATTGAAAATGCAATAGGACCATTGGAAAACAAGTACAAAAAATATTAATAACAATAAGCAATAATGAAGCTGTAAAAATTAAAGATTCAATGCAATGAAAATGAAACTGTCATTAGTAACACTGTGTCAAAGAAATAGAAGGCAATCAGAACTCCAGTTGGTCTAGTTTACCCATCTCTAAAAACATGATAGACACAAGCATGTCCTATAACTCCCAGCCCTCTCTGTTTACTTACATCTACATCTCATTAGCCTTTTACTGCCATGAATGGTTCAGCCAAAAGAAGCCAGCAATATATTTGTTTCCGGTCAACAAGTATCATTAAAATATTCCGGATGTATTCAGTCATGAGTCTTTACAATGCTATATGTTTGCTGCTATTCGTGAAAGTTTGAGTTTGAAGAATTGTTTGGTGTGGAATGGCTAACCAGCATACATGGTTTGAAATTTTGTACATTTTTTTTTGGTATTATAAGTGAGGTTTTAAGGACAAAGCCTGGTAAAAACTACAGATTTTCTGCAGCAGAAAATGTATTTTTTGCAGAAAAGTTTTGTTTTATACTGTTGGTTTATTTCTTAGGTGTATCCAACAGTGAGCAGTCTTAAGGTGTTGATGAAACTGTTGAATATACAGTATATGGATTTTGTGATGTGGACAGTGATTGACTATGTTGGTGGTCAGTTTTCTTTATTGATGCCGGGTGTGTCCGCAGGTGTCTAAGTCCAAAGGTTACGACATTTCTTAAACCAATAACAATGTCATTGTAATTTATGAGCTTAACTGGAATGAGAACATGCAGGCACAGCAGTCCTTCAGCACAAGAACTGAGAACCACTGGGCTAGACAAGCTGTCACAAACCGTGTTCTGTTTAACAGGAAAGCATGCATGCTTATGCAGCCAACGTCTACACTTCTGTTACTGAAGAGCTGACAAAAGAGAGGCACCGCAAGTTCATTGCTGTGGAACAGGAGTTTTTTCGCCTGTGGTGGGACTCCGTGGCTACTGAGCAACACAAAAAACAGGTACAAGAGGATTGTTCTACTTCCTAATCAGAAACAGGCTTTAAACAGCCTGGAAAGGATCACTGCTTGTTCAGATCTTGAAAGTCCTAATGCCCTGATGCCCTGTCGACCAATTCCTCATCTAATGGAATCCTAATGTATGTTCCAGTGATGGTTTAAAAATATTTTTCTTACACTATTCTTTCTTGTGATAATAAGAGAATAATTATGTGTAACATGGCATTCCTATCTTAGAAAAATTGAATAAAATCAACATTCTAAAATTTTAATACAGTACAGATCCATTTTTGGGAAAGCACAAATATTTTAGTGTCCTCAGTCTCCATCTGTCTCCTGTCTCCATCTCCTCTGTCCATACAAAATTGTTCAGTCTCCCAGATACATGGTAGAAATAATTGTTCTTCTTTAACAGTGATTCAGGACAATGTTTATTTACTTACTTCTATGTGCTGTGAATCATAACATTGAAAAAGACAAAAAGCAATGTGCAGTCAGCCTCTCTGTCAGAAAAACGTGGTAAATCACAGAGCTGAGAGGAAAGACAGGTGTTTAATATTGACCTCCTTTATTCTCTTCAGTTGTGGCAGTTGCTGAAAGAAGGACGTCTGGAGTTTATTATAGGAGGGCAGGTGATGCATGATGAAGCTGTGACAGATCTTGAAGACCAAATATTGCAGCTGACTGGTATGTTTAGTGCTTACATTGTGACTTTCATGATGAAAAAATGGTCTTCTCCTTCAAAATGCGAAATTATAATACAATTCCAGCTTCACAAAGAATGTCAGATGCACCCAAGATGAGCTTGCATTAGAGCTCATTGTTGTGCACACAGTTAATCAAACAATTGAAACTTATTCCTTAGATGGAAATTAACAATCAGGGTGATAATTGTGCAAAAAGCGGTAATTTAAGCATAGCAGGAGGCTGGGACAGTATTCAGATTTTAAATAAGACCAGGTTGTTTCAATTCATCCATCACACAGTTAAATACAAATGGAAGTAACATATAAATTATTCCCCCTGTGTAACAGTAAAACACCTTTTATATCACACTTCTAAAGGGATAAAGACATTCGGGAGATTTTGGTATGTTCCAGATTATATATATACGGTGTGAGTACCTTTAAGATGTGCTGTCCTAACTGAGTTTTCTTTTCCATACCTACTGAAGAGGGCCATGGGTTTCTCTATGAGACTTTTGGAGTGAGACCTCAGTTCTCTTGGCATGTTGACCCCTTTGGAGCCTCAGCAACCACACCAGTGGTCTTTGCACTTGCCGGCTTTAATGCACACCTGATCTCACGCATTGACTATGACCTCAAAGATGATATGCAGAAAAATAAGGTAACTCACTATTTTGTCTTTCAGGCTGCGTGTTATAGCATATGTGGAACTACAGTATGTGGTTTTGATTACTGAATACTTTTCAGTTACTCTATAGGATAGTGATATTGTGTTTCTGGCAACAAAAATTAGAAGAGGAAAGTGGGTTTATCAAATTCTATACAGTATATGCTTCCCTTTTTAGTAATCATTGAGTTCCAGTGAGCCTGAAGGCTAACCCAGCAGGCACAGGGAGTCAGGTAGCACTCTAGACAGGATACCAGTATTTCAAAGGAGACGCACAGAGTTACTCATGGGAACAGTTTGGAGTCCCCAGTTGAGCTGTCTATCTTATCTGTGGACTGCGAGAGAAACCTTGAACAAGGGAAAAACATGAAAACTCTTAACTGCCAACCAGATTTAGTCCCAAGACCCATTGTACCAACCAACCCTATTATTTAGAATTTAATAGAAATGTTACCTTTTGTTTAACTTCAGAGAGGTTTTGATAGATATTAATGTGAATAATTTTCAGTAATAAAGCCTTTTAAAAAATGTATGCAAGCCAAGCACATCAGTTTCTTTTAATGTAAATTATTACATTTAAGTTTTAATTTTACAAATGTTAGCTGTGTTTGTTTTACAACGTAGTTTCCTTTCAGCATGGAAAAGAAGTAGGTTCAATTTAAGGTTCTGCATTTCACACCATCTTAATAATTTTAGCTATGAATGTCATTGTTGCTTTTGATGATTTGCCTGTCAGCAATTGTGTGATCTGAATACAGTTCCAGATCAGATCTGTAATGTCTCTGAGTCAATATCAGAACCCAAAATAACAATGAGGTGCAGTCATGTTTTTGCCTGTAAACCTTTATCTTGTAGTCTTTTAAATGCATCTATTCTACATACAGGCCCATTAATGTGGTAAAATTAATATTCATTTGCTTCAGTGCAGTTAAAGTATAAAAATCTCTGAATCACAATTATAGACATAATCTGTGAAATGTTTACTAATTCTGTCATGATACACAGTTAATGACAGCTATTGTTTGTAATGCAAATTAAGTAGCCAATAACCGACATAAGTAGCTATAATATATCTTGATAAATTTTACATTTTGAACCTGCAGGCAAGAGTTTGCAGCCAAAGTCCTGCAGATATGTATTTTGAGCTGTGATGAACAGAAGATCTATATTATTAGACATGATTAGCAGGGCTTTAATGTCCTTAAATCAGATGTTCTACTGTTGCTTCTGAAGCCTCTAACGAGTGCATCTTATGTTTTTGACATCAGAAATTGCAGTTTGTGTGGAGGGGCTCACCATCTCTAGGTGAGAAGCAAGAGATCTTCACTCACATCATGGACCAGTTCAGCTACTGTACTCCATCACACATTCCCTTCTCAGACAGGTTGGGCTCCCTGGCAGTTAGACAACAGCAATGTATTCATTTCTGCAACGTTTTTTTAATGTGTTTAACCAATGACCTAGGGAATATCACACTTGTGTTTTTCAAAATATCTGAAAGCTGAGCTCTTACTTTAAGAATTGTGGGCATGAGAGTCTGCTTTATTCAAAGGTCTGAAAGCTTTATTGGAAAACATAAACTGCACCACTCACCAGCTTTCCATCAGTTTCAGTAATTTTGCTGAAGACATTTGCCTATTGCTACACTAGCTGCCTGATTCCTGATTTTTGACTCTAGAAAGAGAGTTAATACCAAGGAAATCTGTACTGCACCTGTACCTGCATAAATAGGTTGATCTTTTGCCTTTAAGCCCTTAATCGGTGGCTGAATTGTAAATATTTTTTTGATTCTGGTTGGTTTTCTCACTGTTGCAGGTCGGGATTCTACTGGAATGGTGTGGCCCTTTTTCCTGACCCCCCAAAGGATGGTGTTTATCCTAACATGAGCTTGCCTGTCTCCAACAACAACCTCCATTCCTACGCTGAGACCATGGTGAATAATATCAAACAGAGGGCAGCCTGGTTTAGGACCAAACATGTACTCTGGCCATGGGTAGGTTTAAATGTCCACAACATGGTGTTTTGTTTCACAGCATAATATGATGACGTCGAAACATAATGCAATACGCGGACAAACAGTGGGGCATTAATATCTCACAGTGTGGGTTTAGATTTAATTATCCCAATGGAATTTTATAAAACTCAAAAGGCACGGATGTAAAATAAGACTTTCCACAACCTCAATTAAGTTGTAGCTCTTTTCATTTTCTTTGCATCCAAGCACTTAATTCATCTCCTGGGCTCCATCCTGGAGCTGCCTGTCTTTGATGGGAAACTATTTTTAGCATTGATTTTATGAAAGTTTCTTTCACTTCCTTTTCATCAGTTCACCATAGCCGACCTTGTGTTCTCAATTCACCCGGTCGTACTGAGCCATGAGGAGTTTAACTTTTACATCAGAGGTTTTCGGCCCTGGTTCTGGAGCACCGGAGCTTTCGAAAAAGATAATATATCGAAAACCTTTTTTGAACAAATGCCTTGTGTGATCAAACTTGGTGAATTTTAAGGGAGTTTCAATTTTAAGGCGAGTTCCTTTTAAGGTGCAGGCGTGCTTCAGGACTGTAATTGAAACAAACACCTGAAGAACAATTTGAGCTTGAGTTGTACATGAAGTGAACAGGCCTAGCTGTGAGTCCAGTTCTGGACTGGGCCAGCTTCTGTGTGGAGTCTGCACACTCTCCTCAGGTTTGTGTGTGGGTTTCTGTGCTTCAGTCTGCACTAGTATTTCAAGATCTGCTGGACAGGTTAGTCAGCATCTCTGAATTTTTACATGTATGAAATGTTTACATGTACTGTAGGTGCATGTGCATGTCCTGCGATGGACTCCTTCTCTGGTGTGGGCCTGCCTTACATCTCCTTCTGGTTTTGGCTTCAATTTTTGCGGTGACTCTTAACCGGAATAAACAGTTTTCAGATGAAGGATGAATGGTTAAATCAGTTAAGGCATTAACTACATCTTGTCTGACGGATGTGTCCGAGAGCAGTTCAAGTAAACTCGTATACAGGTGACATGATAGGCATCAGATGACTTGAATAGTTTTAACTTTAGTGTCTCCTTTCACTTACTCTTGGGTGGGTGGCACAGTGGTTAGCATTTGTGGTTAGCTGGGGATGCCATCTGCTTGGAGTTTGCTTGATTTCCCCATCTTCACGTGGGTTTCCTCCCACTGTCCGAAGACCTGCTGGCTTCTGTAAAATTAGCCCTGCTGGGAGTGTGTGCATGTATGTGTGTCCAGGGTGTATCCCGCCTTGCAGCCAATGCTTCCTGGGACCACTGTGACCCTAAATAGTTATAAGAGGGCGCTGAAAGGGATGTGATGTGATGTTCTCATTGAATTAGGATAACATGGGACTCCATATTGACAATATTTCCTTTTCTTTCAAAATGTCTAACAGGGCTGTGACAAGCAATTCTTCAATTCCTCAGTTCAGTTTAAGAACATGGATCCTTTGCTGGCTTACATTAACCAGCACAGTGAGGAGTTTGGGGTTACAGTGCAGTATGCCACTCTTGGTGAATACTTTGAAGCTGTTCATAAAGCAAACCTTTCCTGGGATGTAAGAGATAGCCAGGACTTTTTACCTTATTCCACAGGTACGTGTTGAACTGGCATTTTGCTTTAAGGAAATGTAGTCTGTTTAAAAACATATATATAAATACATTGAGGTTTAAATTGTGTAGCACTGAAGCAAAACTTGTTGCAACACTAGACTACATATGTGGTGTTGCAGAGAGTTGCTGTAGAAACATTGAATTTTATGTAAACCTTTGGAAAAGTTTTGTCTAACCTTTACAATTTGGCACTTTCATTAAACCTTCTTAATATTAACAAGACCCCAGTGTTACAATTATTCTTTTGGGAATGTGTTGTACCAGTCCTCCACAGTCCAACGCCTCCTATAGTTACATTAATAATCATCAGCATTCATCTTAGGAAAATTGTTGGATTGACCAACAAAGAGAATAATTAGTGCAAAGGTAGTTATTAGGTTATGAAATCCAGAAGGCCTTGTAGCATCTAAGGCTCAAAGCTACAGTTGTGAGAAAACGTTTGTGAACCCTGAGGAATTATCTAGATTTCTGCATGAATGGCTCCTAAAATGCGATCTGATCTTCATCTAAGTCATCATTATAAATAAAGACAAACAATTGAACAAACAACACACACAACATTTTACATTGTCATATCTTTATTGGACAAATTGTATTTGTTCTTTATTTATTATGATGACTTAAGATCAGAGCACATTTTAGGAGCCATTCATGCAGAAATCCAGATAATTCCTCAGGGTTCGCAAGCTTCTTCTCACAACAGTATTCATGCGGCCCGGATGTGCGTGTTATCAGACTGGGATGTTAAGGGCTAAACAGAAGCAGGTGGACAATCAGGAAGCTTTGTTTGTCAACAGATCCCTTTCAGGCTTGGACGGGGTTTTACGCCTCTCGGAATGTGCTGAAGGGAGCGGCTCGCAGGGCGAGCTCTCTTCTGTTTGCGGCGGAGTCGCTGTTCACAAGGTACAGGATAATGTTCCCGGACGGACCGATCCCCAAAGAATGGGCTCTGCAGCAGCTGCGAGCCCTCCGATGGGCCGTCTCTGAGGTATCTACTGTCAATAGACTAATTGGGTATTTCTGAAAGTAAACCCATCTCTTTCTTGCACCACCTGTTTTTTTTTAACCACAAAAATAACAAATGTTTCCTTCACGGTGAGGTTCAACATCACGATGGAATCACGGGGACAGAGTCCCCCAAAGTTGCTGACATGTACATAGACCATCTTGCCCAAGGAATGATGGCAGTGCAAGAGCTAATGGCTGCAGTTTTCCTGTTACCAAAGGGAGGTGGCGCGCCGTTCACATACAGCCAAGAAACCGCGAGTAAAGGTACATTTTGGTTTTGCAAAATGAGCAGTAGACCATGGCGAAGTGGCACTAAATGCAGAGCACTTTTGCCAGGGTTTCATTTTAAATTCAGTACCATACCAAATGCAGGTAGTTCTTCAGTACTGCATTGTATTGAACCTTTCAGTTATGAGGAAGGGAATCAAAATGAATGACCTCGAAGCAGGAACTTACATTTTTAAAGTTGAATTGCATTTATATTGATTGTGTTGTCTTAAATACAGATTTTTCTCAGGATCCTGAACAGCACATCATAGTCTATAACCCCCTGGCATGGAATACCACTACATTCATCAACGTTACAGTGACCTTCCCAGTGGCCAGGGTGTATGATGAAGATGGAAAGCCTGTTCCCGCACAGGTACTGCAGATAATTTAAGCAGGGAGTCACAATACACTTCAAGATTATAATGCAAGCAATACATTAGGGTACTAGTTTTAAAATAAATAAGATCTATATTTTATTACTATTTCTCAAAAGGTCCTTTGGCCTTGATGTGTCTTGAAGACACAAATAGACATTTATGGCTAATTAACACTGACGTCAGGAGATGCTTCATCTAACAGAGGATTGTGGGAATTTGGAACCAACTCCCAAGTCATGTGGTTGAAGCAGATTCCATAGAGTCCTATAAGAAAAAATTATAAATCTTCCAATAGTAGGTACCAGTAACCAAAAGAGCCATCTGGGCCAATTTGCATCCCACTTGTAACCTTTATTCCAGAGCTTCGTAAGATTTAATTACATTTCTGATATTCACAAGAGATATTCTTATTTTAAACCGTGTGCAGTACTTCGATACCATTGTTAATTTTAAAGTACGTGATACTTTCCATTTTTACTGTAGGTGTAATGCAATGATAAAGTAAAGAAATGGCAACTGCCATTACCAGATAGTTCCTGCAACTGTAGGAAAATCATCACTATACTTTCAGAAGCTACTTAATTCAGTTTTGAATGAATACACACAACTTCACACTGAACTACCTCTATTTGTTTCACCTCTTTTTACACAGTTCATTTTTTTGCTAATCATAATTCCGTCATGGATGTCTTGCAAACATTTTTTTTTCTTTAATAGATCCAGAAATCTCCTGAATCTGTTTCTGTGTATGATCTGTACATCCTCGTTAATTTAAGTGGACTGCAGTACAAGAAATACGTAATAAAATTTTCTACATCACCCTGCCGCAAAGACTCTGAGTCTTGGCCAACTTGTTTTGGAAGAGTGGTGAAATTTGACCGCCAGAAAGTTAAGAGTTCAAAGATAACAGGCCGGAGGCTTCTACCTGTCATGAATAGATGCTATATGGTGATGATTGACCTGGACACAAACTTGCTCCAAAGCATAAGAGATAGGTGAGTTGTGTGCTATGACTTAAGATGTATCACAGTTGTTTTGTTATGCTTTCACTGTTTTTTTTTTCTGAAATGTAACTAACCTTGCTTGTGATTACTCTGTATTTGTAACATGCTGTGGTTCAGTTCAGCTGAATCTCTAAATGGAGGTTATTGTGTACTGTTCTGTTGTAGCAGGCTACCTGTATTAAGAGCTGCAGTAACCAGAGACTACCACTAGAGGTCGAAACAGCTTCAGAACACTTTTTTGATTTATTGTTGTAAAGTGTAAACCATTTTCAATGGTAGATAATTGTGAGAGAGATGGTGTCTTTATTATCCCCGGAGGGGCAAGCTGTTTTACAGCAGCAGTGTTGGAATACAGACAAACACAAAAAAAGAGACAGGAACAACAATATACATATTTACATAGAAAGTCCAGATTTAAGTATATGACTACAGGTATGAATGATAACTTAAATTTATTGGTTTTGGTGTTGGGGAGTCAGTATCTGCACTCTGATGGGAGTAACTGGAAATTATTAAAAAGGGGTGTGAAGGATCTTCGCGGATAGATTTTGCTTTACGCAAAGCATGTGAATAATAGATGGAGGAGAGGGCTGGAAGATCAGCGCCAATGACCTTCTGGCATATTTTCACAAGTCTGCCCGGTTTGTTCTTGCTTCTCAGATTCAGGTTACGAAACCAGCAGATCATGGTAAAAGTTAGAACAGATTCAAGGCAGGACCGGTAGAACAAAACCAACAAAGAATCATTGACCTTAAAATACTTCAACTTCCTTAAGAAAAAAAGGCGCTGTTGACCTTTTCTGAGGATCAGGTCAGTATTGGCTTCAGAGTTAAGCTTGGAGTCCAGGACAGTCCCCAAGTACTTATATTGTTCTACCAGCTCCACTGAATCTCCCTCAATGTAGGTTAGGGTGGGAGTGTGGGTATATTTCCTGAAGTCAGTTATCATGTCTTTGGTATTGGGCACATTTAGCTTGAGGAAGTTTTTTTCACACCAGGTGGCAAACAATTCAATTCAAGGTGCTTTATGAGCATGACCGGTGGGTACAATCAGTCTTAGCAAATAAAAATGAAATTATAAACATGAAACAAAACAAAAAATAAAAAATAAAATCTACAGACGTATTAAAGACATTTACAACAAAGATAACATAAAATATTTACATAAACTGTAAACATATGGAGGATTATTGGGAGACAGACTCACTGTTCCTCAGGCTGTGACAGGAGATCACATACTGGGCTGCCAGTTCAACTGATTTCCCTCCCCCTTCTCCCAGTAGGATTGGGACCCGTTGTGATTCTGGCAGGTGTGGGGACTACTCTCTCTAGTGTGGGGGTACCCAAGCGAGGGGTCTTTTGCTATCCAGTGATGGGGTACCTAGCCTACCATTTCCGCAATTGGACACTTAATTGAAATAACAAGCTGCCTGATTGGAACTTACTTGTTGAACACTGTATTTACTGGCAACTCCACACATGATAAAGAGCTGAAAACAATGAAGAGTTCACAGTTATCCTTTTATTGGGATAGTTAAGAGTTTAGCTGAAACAAAAGTGACCATGTGTGTGGTTCTCCAGGTTATGGATTAGGACCAAGCTGTAATGCAGGGGTGTCTTCTAGATTCTGTTCTAACTTGAGCTCCAAGATACAAAAGTGTTTTAAATATTTTGAAGACCTGTGTAATTGTAATACTTCAAACCTGCTTAAAGGATATTTTTGAAGTACCATTAATGAAATCAGTTTTGAGCAATCAGCTTTAAAGGAACTTAAGAAACATCCTATATATTGATGCAGAAACGTAATTGTTCAACTGACAGCTCATTTTGAAACAGAAATCAGGAGACACTATGACCTCCAGGGATCCTAACACTTCTGCTCTGGGGCCTTCATTGTATTTCTATGGGACAAAGTTCTTTCTGTTTTCTGTTTAGTTTATTCTAGAGAAGATTATGTGATTTATTTTGTTGAACACCTTCCTTTCAAATAAAACCAGGATTGTTCTGGACCTGAAAATTTAACATCAGAGTCCTCTGCCACCTCCATTATCCGTTTCATGTGATGAGGTCCTGAGCCTGCAACAGAGATCTTCCAAAGCATGTGAAACAGAAATCTAAACAAAGAGGAATGTCTCAGAGAAAAGCTGAAGCTGTTAATATAGTAAAAAAGTGAGGTTAAACAAGTAGTCGCTGGTGATGTCGTTAATTGTGACCAAACTGGTGAAGATGGATGAAAGAAAGCAGACACGGAAGACTCGATTGGAAAGTTGACACTCATTTAACATACAAAAACAAACATTAACAGTTCTTTTCCTTCATTGAATTTACCACTCTATATAAATTAGTAAATCATGTTCATTGATATATTGAGATCTTCTGAAGGTCCTGTTGTTAGCCGAATAAAATGTCTACATTGATTGCCCATTCTCATCTGTAAAGGCATACTGTGCAAGTATTTAATTGAGTTCCATAAGTCCAGTTATTTCACTGTGATTTGAAAGTGTTTCTTCTTTCCAGGACAAGTCAGAAAACTGTAAAGTTGACCCAGGATTTTGCAGAGTACTATGTCAATGGGGATGTCCAGCAGGGACCCATTTCTGACAATTACATTTTCACTGCCCGTGGGTCAGCTGTCCCTGTTTTTAAAGCTGTTGGTATGGAAATTGTTCCTGGGAAGCTTGTGACAGAGATAAGACAGTACTTCTACAGGTACCGTACTTCTTTTTTTCTTTTTGAAAGCCTCAAAGTTATCAAATTGCCAGGATGCAGTTTTTTTATAATGCCTGTATAAAGTTATCAAAAATGTTTTAAGTCTGGATTCTTGTCTGCTTGTTGCTTTCTTCAGAGAAGAGACTGACAAGAACTACAGATATGCCATGTACACAAGACTCTACAGCGTGCCGGAAGAGTATGAAGGGGATTTGGTGTGTCATCGTATAGAGCAGAGTTATAAAATTGGCCCACTAGAAGTGAACAGAGAAGCTATCTTGAGGACTGTCACTGATCTGAGAAATAACAAGACTATATTTACAGACAACAATGGATTCCAGATGCTGAAGAGACAACACAAAATGTTTGTGAACAATACTGTGGCGAGAGTGAGTTAGAACATCTACTTTTTGCTCCACCTGTATTTATTTTAGTGCATTGTTTAAGACAAAATGAATCTGGTCAGATGTGATATTACATTTTAAGAAACCAGAAGCTATTTTTAGTACATTGTGTGTCGTGTGCTTTTGGTCCTTACTTTTAAGGTCTTTTTCGTGTCCATTTGTATTTTACTTTATGTTTCTTATTGCAGAACTATTATCCAATGGTGCGTACTGCTTACATTGAAGACAACTCGATGAGGCTGGTATTTCTAAGTGAGAGATCACATGGAGTCTCCAGTCAAGATCATGGTCAAGTCGAGGTGAGACCCTTGATTTTCTGTCACAAGAAATTATTGTTTGTTAATTGAAACACTACACAAGCAAGAAATCGCTGGTTAAAAGAGTTGTTTAGCAATATTGTAAGAAGTTCACTGTACATACTTGGGCCCTGTATTCAAAGTGTGTATGTGCCTGAATCTCTTATGCTTTACTTAGGAACCAATTTCTTTAATAATTATAGTTTAAGTTTTTTAGATTTTTGTTTTTGTTCATGAGGAAATAAACAAATACAAAATCAGAGGACAATTGTTTTTTTTTCGCTTAAACATTATCATTTTGTGCTTTCGATAATATAACTGAATGCTGAAGCAAATAGCAAGCTTTTGTCTGACAACGGAATAATTGATGCCTATAGGATTTCAAATTCTAGGTTTTTTCTATTAAAGAATGAACAGATACAGTAAATTAATAGAGTAGGAGTTTTGAATACAGTGGAAATATGACTAAACATCATGGTAGCACAGTAGAAAGCATTGTTGTCTCACAGTGCTGGGGCCCTGGGTTCAATTCCTGGGGTGCTATCTGTGTGGAGTTTTTATGTTCTCATGTGTTCCTGTGGGTTTGTCCGTAAGTTTCAGATTCCTCCCACAGAAATACTGGTAGGTTAATTGGCTTCTGGGAAAACTGGCCCTGTTGTGAGTGTATGTGTGTCTGTGTCTATAATAAACTGGTGTCCCATGCAGGATGTACCTTACCCTGCACCCGTTGCTTGCTGGGATAGGCTCCTGCTCCCCCTATGACCTTAAATTGGAAGAAGCGGTCAGAAAATGGGTGGATGGAAATATGATTTTAAGATGTATTTTTACTGCCCATTTTTTGTAAATCTTGTATAGATTTACAGCCCATGAACAAACTGGGCTCTCTGTGGGTTTTTCATGTCCAACCACAGTTTTCCTAAACAGATTACACTCCCTGTTTTATCTAATGGGCAACGTCTGGGTGACATTGCACATGTTCTTATTCCAATAGCCTGATTCTGCATGTCTGTTTCTGCTTTTGAGTAATATATAGTAAATTATTTTTAACTGTTTGAGAGCTGGTCAAATTTAGCAATGGCGGTTTCTTCAAAACCTTAGAAAAAGGTTTTGTATTTTGTCTGCAGTGCTGAGTGCAGTGGCAGCCATATTGCAGGGCAGAAGCAACAATGAAATCTTGCTTTGAGCAGCGATCCACTGGGCACCTACTGCGGTTGTTTTAATGTGGTTTTAATATGCTCCCACAATTGGGCTGGTTTGTAAATCTGTATTAAATTAATAACCACAAGCCTAAATAAGACAAATTATTGTGGTTGTCACTTCCCTTTTTAATCTAAGTGTGTGGTACTTCAACCATAATTCAACCAAGCAAGGTTGTATTTGTGTACCTGGCCTGAAACAGACAGGGGTGTCATTGTGTTTCAGGTCATGCTTCATCGAAGGTTGTGGAACAATCAGAAGTGGAATCTGGGATATAATCTAACTCTGAATGACACCTCTATTGTGCAGCCTGTCCTGTGGATGATTCTGGGGTCTAAGTCCATGACTTCATCTCTCTACCAAAGAAATTCAGTGGCTCTTGAACACAGGCCTGTGGTTATGCTAATTGACACTCCAAGTAAGACATGTTTTTCCTGATAATTCCACTTTATAAACTGCAGTTGTGCTTGGTTATTTTAATGTATTTTAAAAGATGTATAAAATGTTGCTGAAATGCTGAAAATGTTCAGTTTGTAAAATGTCTGCATAGTTATTCTTGAGACAGTTCCAGATTTTAGAAAATTAAAAAACCAACCCAAAGGACCACTGAGCAACTATAATTGCAGTATAGCAACTAGCAAGTACAACATCATCCATTTAGATTCATGATTTGTATTAGGATCCATGCAGTGTTTTTGTTTTGTTACATTCATAAACTCAGTGCTCCGCAATGTGGAAATATAAAAACATCTGAGTCCTGGAAGAAGATACTCCAAGTTGCTGAAAGCAGCTTCTGTGGTCCAAGTTGCTCCAGGCCTCTGGTGTTGTTAGATTTTTTTCATTCTAAAATTGCTGACAATGCAGTAAAGCAAACAGATGGCAAAGAATCTTTAAACAAATAAGGCAAGTGGTTGTGGTTAAAATAGTGATAATTTTGTGATACTGTGATAATTATCACTTCAAAGAAAGACATTGATAAATTGCAAACACTTACACAGCTCAAAATCAATGCTTATTAATATCCTGGAGTGAACACTGATAATATTAAGATCTGGAATCACGTGATATCCATTTATTGCGGAGTTCACCTCTTCTGATGTGCACTCTAAAACTCTGCTTATGAATTGTGTTCTCGCTTTGGGTAATTAGGACTTTTAACTTTAGTCCCTCAATACTCAATTCCAGGAAAGGCCTGGACTGCCTCAGAGCCCAAAGAACAAACCGGCCTTCCAGTACAGCCTGTTACTCTCCCAGTAAACCTTCATCTTCTCAGCCTCAGTGTTCCAGGCTGGAGGTACAGCTCAAACCACACCAGACATTGGAGAGACGTTCTGCAAGGTACTTTTTATGTGACATTTTGTATTTATTTAGATAAAAACAATTTGATTTAATTGGATTACCAGGTGCATTATATTCCTTTGTGACAAGTTAGGGAAATAGTTAGGCTCTCCCATCCATCCAGGACATTTATGACAGACGGTGCTTGGGAAAGCTCTAAGCATCATCAAAGACCCCACACACCCCAGCTACATACTGTGTGACCCTCTACCATCTGGAAAACAGTACCGGAGCATCCGGGCCTGGACTACCCCCACACTATCAAACTATTAAACTCCCAGCCCCTCTCACCCACGATCTGAACCCTTACAGTGCCTTCTCTCTTTATCAAAACTCAAACACACATTGAAATCTACCTCTACCTCACAGTCAAGATGTTGACTCCCCATAATTTTCTATTCTTTATTTCGTTCTGTTGATGTATGACTTTTGCACAACTGATGTTGTTTTGCACATTATCTGTTGTTGTGTTGCACATTGTCTGCTGTCTCTCTCTTTCTTGCCTTATACAATTGTATTGTTGTTTTTTTGTACTGCTTACCGTCTGAGAGCTAGCTAAATAGCTTAAAACATTTCATTATACCATATACCAGTGTATGAGTATAATGACAATAAACTTGAACTTGAAATAGGGGTGTGAAGTTCTAACAGTTACCACAAGAGTATGCCATCAACTCAGGATACGGGCTGTAAAGAGCTCTAATTACACTGCACATGAGAATTCAGGGAGCGATAAAGGCTGAGTGAGGAATCCAGTCATACTCTCAGGTGTGCCCCATTAATCCCAGGGTTATAGCAAGGCATCTGGAAGAATGAGTGTTGATGGAGCTGTAGACTCTTCAGAGTGAGGTGACTGCAGGACCTTTAAGATTTACTGTATTGAAGAGCAGAGTAACTCTCTCGGGAAGAGAGAGAGAACCAGGAAGAGAAAAAGCTCCTTTGACCGAAAATAATAATATTTTGTTCTCCCCAAAAATGCTTCATCTAAAGGAAATCATAACTGCCATCCCAGGTATAAAGAAAGGAAAACCCAGTTAGTTATCTGCATTTGCCCATGACCATGTCCAGTAGCTTCCTATTCCTGGTCCTGAGGGTACTCTTAAATAAAACTACCTACTGATTTTTGTTCTGACTGGGCCATCTATTATCAGTGCCGTATTGTACATTTAACACTTAAGCTTGCTGGCTTAGACCATTTTCTGTACTCAGTCCTTGGTTTTAAAAGTACAATAATTAAAGTGCATTACTTTCAACAGCTCCAATACACCAAATCTGATTAAGCCTCTCCTGTATTTGTCAATTAAGAACTTGCTCCCTTATTTCTGACTAGAGAGGCCTCCATAGCTCATAGATTGATGTTGAACGAGTCAGTGTTTTTTTGTTCCTTCCTCTTCAGTCCAGTTGATTTTATTTCAGCTAGCACACCTGAATGAGGGGGGGTCCAGCTTTTCAAGGTCTGAAAGCAATTTGAAAAAGACCTACCACAGAATATTTCAAAATCAAATCAGCAAAAACGTGGCAGCAATGTTATCCACCATGCTGTCCTGTGCTGTATAGATACAGATATTGTGTTAACTATCGCTGCCTGTTTATTTACAAAAGCATTGATCGCACAAATAAAAAATACGGTTTTAGGAAGAAAAATATTTACAGTGTTTCATTCTTTAAGGTAAAACAAGAAAAGCAGATCCTGACTTTGACCGAGTATTGCTAAGGATCATGCATCTCTATGAAGAAGGCGAGGACCCTGTTCTGTCACAGCCTGTCACTGTAAACCTGAAGGTACTAGAAAAAGCTTTATAGTTGTTTAATTTTTTATAGTTTTTTTTTATTTAAACTCCCTGTAGCACCTGCAGGAGTTTTGTGAATTTACTGCGACACTTTAATAGTTGTAACAGTAAATTATGAGGTATGGTTCTTTATGGCTATTAGGAATCAATAATCAGAACAATCAGCAATTAGGAAGAGGTACTTGCTGCAGGCTAGACCTTGGCTGAATTCTGTCTTTACGTAAGGAGAACTGTTCCTTATCAGGAAGACAAACATCCCTAAATCAGTGCACCAATATGAATGACTCTCTGTGGCTTGGACCACAGAGATGAGAGAGAGGGACCTTTTCTGTCTTATTAATAAGCATTGCCTCTATATACCTTAAGTAACTCATATCCTTGTCTTAGGTTATTTCTGTAGGTGGACATAATAACTGTTTAAGAAAGCATTCCTTTTATAGTCTCCTGTAGAGAACTAGAAAAAACCCCTTCTGTTTACCACTGTAGAATCCCATCCCATGAGAGCTTAATTCAATTCAAGGTGCTTTATTAGCATGACCGATGGGTACAATCAGTGTTGCCAAAGCAAATAAAAATAATAAAATTAACATGGAACAAAACAAAAAATAGAAGTAAAATAAAATCTACAGACATGTTACAGACATTTACAACAAAGACATATTATAAAATATTGACATATACTGTAGGCGGCTAGAGCATTATTGGGAGACAGACTCACTGTTCCTCAGGCTGTGACAGGAGATCACATACTGGGCTGCCAGATCAACTGAGTTCCCTCCTCCCTCTCCCAGTAGGATTGGGACCCGTTGTGACTCTGGCAGGTGTGGGAACTCTGGGATTAGATTTCTGAATTTGGGGAAGAATGTTTCTCTAATCCCAGAGTGTCTGTCACAGTGCAGTAGGAAGTGCACCTCTGTCTATTTCTCCCCGCTGGCAGTGGGAGCACAGCCTGTCCTCTCTGGGCAGCCAGGTCTGCCTGAGTCGCCCAGTTTCTATGGCCAGGCTGTGGTCACTGAGCCTGTACTTCGTCAGGGTCTGTTTCTGTTTGTTATTTTTTATTTTGGTCAAATATTCAGCTAGTGTGTATTGTCTGTTTAGGGTTCTGTAGCATTGTATGTCCCAGTTATGAGATATTGCTGTCTGAGCTGTGCTGTGATGTGGTTGAGTCTGGGTTGTGGTGCTCTAGCAGTGCTGTCCTGAGGCTGGTTAGTGTCGGTGTGGCTCAGGTCAGTGAGCCTCAGGACCAGCTGGCTCAGGGGGCTCTGTTTTGGGCTCAGCAGGGCTTTGTGGTGGTAAATATCACCACAATGTGTTGAGCCTAAACCTCCAGATAGGGAAATAATGGGGGGGGGTTGGGAATACTGTCTTTTATCTTGGTAAACACCTGTATCAGTGCTGGCCTTTGTCCTGTTCTCAGCTTTTTCAATGAGCATATAGGGCTGTTCTTTTAAAAGTAGAAATAAGTTATTTGATGTGTTGTTGTGTACAGGTTCAAATTATAGGTCTTGCATTTCATTTTTACTTTCTTTCACAATTCATATCATAAGCCTCTTTTAGGAACAGAAGATGCTATGAATTCATGTTCTGTACATGTGCCTGTTTCCCATGAAGAGTATCTGAATGGAACTGAAAGACCCAAGCATAGCATAGCCATTGACCGTGTCTTTAAATGTGTGAACAGGAAGTCCTGAGGAGCTTGGGCCCAGTGAGCTCAGTGGAAGAACGTTCTCTCACAGCAACCTGGAATCTCTCAGAGCTTAGAAGATGGAAGTGGAGGACAACACCAAAGAATGTCGAGGGTGAGTTTAATTGCATTTCATCAGAAATTTGAATCAGCATTGTTGGTTGCTTAGGTTAGTCATAATTACAAATCCTTATGCTCGGGTTCAGAATGTACCACTATTGTAAACGTCTGGTTTTGAAAAATATTGCATGATTTAGGCTGGTTCAGACCATTTTGCAATGATTCATAGACATGATTTGGTTTGTTCATTAAAGTTTGTGAAGCAATGTCTCAATCAGCTTAATAATGCACATTACACGGTAGAAATTGGATGGTTTTTTTTAATTAAAAAGCAAGCATAACAAATTCCATAATGGAATAGTACCTTACCTTAACTTCAACCCTAACACTGTTTACAGCTACTTAAGACTGAACTCTAGCTTTTAACAGTAAGCCAAGTTGAATTTGAATTGAAAACAGAGAAAGAAATCTAGAACAGAAGAAATCTAAAGATGCTGACATCCAATTTCTTTACAGCTTTATCTAATACATTTTGTGAGGGAGCCAGAGCCTATCCAGGCGAGCAACGAGTGCAAGGCAGGATACACCCTGGATGGGACATCAGTCCATCACAGGGCAGACAAACAGGCACAAACACACACTCACACCAGGGTTAATTAAAACAAAGGCAATTAACCTTCCACTGCGTCTTTGGACTGTGGGTGGAAACCAGAGTACCTAGAGGGAACCCAAGCGAACTTGCAGAGAACATACAAACTCCACACAGATAGCACCCCAGGAATTGAATGGTAGGCCCCAGCACTGCAAGGCAGCAATACTAATCACTGCACCACCACAGCACTGCATATGAAGAAGTAATGTTTAATAAAATTGATTAAAATAATGAATAGCCATCATCATTTCACATACAAAGAGCATTTTGAAGTATCTAAGCATTATGTACTTGTACTCTTCCTTAAGAAAAATGTAATGTTTTTGTTTGCTTTCTTTCCAGAGCTGAAAAATCCTTCGGTTACAGAAGACTTCACTGTTACAATATCGCCTAAGGAAATCAGGACATTTTTTGTGCACTTTAATTAGCAATTAAAATATGCCAGTAATCTTCTATGAAGATGGCTTACCATAATTTTGACTTTCAAGAATCTAAATATTGTAAATATCCAAAGATAGGCATTATCAATGCTTTTTAGTTTCCTTCTTTTCACCTTCAGCAATGTGACAGTTGGGCAGAAAGATCAGCTAGCAACAATAAAATAACAAGGAACAGCCTCTGTCGTGTAATTGACCTTTTTTTGGTAGCATTTTCTGTAAGTAAATGCTTACATCTTCCTTAAATCATTACTCACTGCTGGATGAAGATCTCCCCTAAGCTATTCAAAGAACGTCTGTTCATAGTTATCTGTAACCACCTGTATTTTCAGAACATACTAATTTAATTCTGCCATCTGAAATGAGTTGGAAATTTGGTCTCCAGGAATCCTTTTTAGCATTTAACTGACCTGCTCTGTCCCACTCTAATTGTAATATGTCATATCCTTATGCTTCTGTAACCATTTACATATTAACAGTGAAGCTGTGAATCATTTCAGTATCTGTAAAATGGAGGTTGTAGTTTTGACGGTATTCCAGACATCATATTTTAATTTTAAATAGATTTTGACACTACAGTATATCTCTTTAGCAGATTGGCATTGTTTACTCATAATGACTTGGACTTCATTAGGTCTCTGCTGTAATACAAAATCATGTAATACTACCCCGTTGTTCATTTGTCTACTTAGCAGATGCCTTTATTCAAAGCAGTTAGCAAAAAATAATTACAGCTTTTGAGTTACACAGATTTAGAGATTTTAGGAGAAAGATTATTGCATCCAAATACAAATCTTTGTCACTTCATCCCATTTGATTCCTGTGGTAGTTAGTCAAACATTGCTCTGTGCAGTTGTAGCAGTGACGTGACCCACATATAGATTACATGTTTAGTCAGTGGTTTATTTTTATTCTAAGGTGTGTAAAAATACTGCACACTGTAACTATAAGTTGTAAACATTTTATTGTTTTTTTTTGCCTAAAAACATTAAACATTACTGTTTGCAATTGATTATAAGAAGTTTGTGGTTTTTCAAGCAAAAGCTGTGCCATACAGGCCAGATGTCTTTGACTGAGAGACGGATTATGCATTGTCTATGGCTAAAACAGATGAACAGAAAGAATTCTAAAGTTTTCTCTCTCCTTACACATCATGAAGATTTGTCTTCATGTTCCATCTTGCATTCTCAGGAAATCATTCTGTTGTCATTGGTACCTAACAATTTTTTAATTTCACAACGCAATTACAACACCTAACAAGAAAATGCATTTCCTCAGCTGAGAGCCAACCCCCTAGGCTTTAGGACAAGGACGTCAGAGGAGACATGAGAAGGAGAAGGTAACCAACCTTAGCCAGCAGCCATATCACCCTGCAACTCACAACTGGGAGCCCGCTGAAGCTAAGCAGGTGTAAGCCTGGTCAGTACCTGGATGGGGGACCTCCTGGAAAAGGTTGCTGCTGGAAGTGGTGTTAGTGGAGTCAGCAGGGGGTGCTCACCCTGCAGTCTGTGTGAGTCCTAATGCCCCAGTATAGTGACTGGGACACTATACTTTGACAGGTGCCGTCCTTTAGATGAGACGTAAAACTGAGGTCCTGACTCTCTGTGGTCATTAAAAATCCCAGGACGTTTCTCGAAAAGAGTAGGGGTGTAACCCTGGTGTCCTGGCCAAATTTCCCATTGGCCCTTACAATCATAGCCTCCTAATAATCCCCATCTATGAATTGGCTTTATTACTCTGCTCTCCTCCCCACTAATAGCTGATGTGTGGTGAGCGTTCTGGTGCACTATGGCTCCTGTCGCATCTTCCAGGTGGGGCTGCACATTGGTGTTGGAGGAGGAAAGTTCCCATTACCTGTAAAGCGATTTGAGTGGAGTGTCCAAAAAAGTGCTACAGTATAAATGTGTAAGCAATTATTATTATTATTATTATTATGATTATTATAACCAATGTTGAGCTAAGGTGGTGATTGAGTGGAGGAGGGATGCTACAAAGACAAAATACAAGGAAAAGAGTGGTTTTCAGGAAGTTATATCTTGGTAGATTACAAGTTATACTCCATTGAAAACCATGCTCAAGTTGCTTCATTTTAGCATTGAGCTTCTGTAAATCAAATTATGATTCAATTTGTAGCACTTTGTATTCAATATTCTTTTAATAGACTATTTGTTTATACTGCAAAACAAGTTTTGAAAGAGAATTTTAATATTAAAAAAAATAATTTAATTAAAAAATATATTTTCATTTAATTATGTGAAGCGTCATCTTTTAACTTTGTCAGATATCTTAAACTGTTAGACTTGCATGATGCTCTTTTGTTGCGGTTTTGTTTGTTGTGCACATGAAGACATGACTTCCTCTACCCTTGACAAGTCGGTTGCATCAGAACCACGGTCTCTGCTGCTACAGTGTTCAGAGCTAAAAGGCATCTAACACAAGAGTTTTGAAAGTTGATCTTTTTTATTAGCTGATCGGCGTAAATGTAAAGTACTAAAATAACTTTTCTAGGTCAAGGAATAAGCATCTGCCAGTCACACTAGATACTAATGAATTATGTTACTCACTTTCTATTGTGTTTTACCTTAAAACTGTTTGAATCCTTATTGTACACTGAGTATCGAATGAAACGTCACTCTATGCTTGTATGCACAGTTACTGTATATACAGATTTTGGGGATTGATTAAATGTTACTTCATTTTTTCAATGTTTCATGTCTGACAGTAATACGTTAATGTTAGTTTTGCATCAAAGCTAAATTGTCTTTGTAGGAAAAACATTGCTCAGGCACAGGTGATTTAAGCTGTTAAGTGTTAAGCTTGGTGAAACTCAAAAAACGAGCAAAGGTCCCAATATGTACCAATATGTATCAATAAACAAATCCACACTATGTTTCTCATCATCTGGGGTGTTCATAGTTGTCCATACATTTCCAATTGTCCCATACGTTTTAGCTGACTACAGTCCGTTGATGATAGGCCATGAAGGTAGAGACCACAAGTCATGTCACTTCACCAAAATTGAAGGGTAGGGCAGAGTGTGATGGTGTGGGTCAGAAGAATCTAGTCACGACAGAACATCACTTATAATGGTTGATGGTAACCTAACTGTCAGAGGCTACATTGATCAACTCCTGCCATTCCTGCATATTGTTCCAGGCATCGCAGCATTTTTAGCAACTCAATTTTATTGTTGCTACTTATGTTTAGACATGGATGCACTACTCTCCAGGGATGAGCCCCATTGAACATCTGTGGGATGAGCTGGGACAATGTGTAACATCTAGGGTTCAGAGACCAGTGAACAGGCACATGCTTGTCCAGGCTCTAGTAGCAAATGTACAACCTGTAGTATCCATCACAAATGTACAGACTATTTCTTCCAACAGCTGAATTCTACAATGCTGTGACTTTCACAGTAAACCTGTTAATGGCAAATGTTGATCAGTTTAATATCATTGCCAGTGCACTGTCTTGTCACTAAAATGTCATTGCACCAGCTGCAACACTGTTATTTAACTAATAACTTTGTAAATTGGGTTCAATTGAAAGTGCTGAATTTCTTTTCATAAACTGAATGAACTGTCTTAAGATAACAACAGCAACTTTCAATGTTTTCCAATGGAATGAAAGCTGATCTATTTAATTTGAAACCATTGCACTTCTTAATGTATAGAGGTTTAAACTCTTTCAAAAGAAAATACTTTAGCATACAGTGAAGGTGACTCTTTAATTTGATCAGTCTCTTTTATACCTTTTCTGCTAACTGTAGGATTGGATTTCATTACTGGGATGTATATGTAGTTCTAATACCACCTCTGTTGTTTTACTACAAAATATTATCACCGATGCATTGTTAAATGTTTCACTGTACATCCTGTGTCCTGCATCAGAGAATGACATTTATTGTCCTATTAGAGTCATATACCCAATTTATTTGGAAAATTCTCTTACATTTTAAATTAAACTTGTTTACAAACCAGACTGTTTATACGTTTAGTGGTTTGCTATGCTTTGTCTGACTTGAAATGATAAACTGTTATTTTGAATGATGGGCAGCAATACTGAAGAACAAGAACATATTTTTTGTATGCTGTGGTTTTTCTGCGTCAGTGAAAATAGACAATGGAAGGTGCTGTTCTTAAAAATTGCTAGATGTTCATTATGAGTGTTTATGGGATGCTTCTGCAGTTTACAACATACAGCTTCCTTTGGTTTAGTTGGTTTAGTAAGTATTATATTCTCATTACTGCTGCTAAAATGTTCCAGATTATACTATATTTGTCTGTGTTCAGTCTCTCTGTTCTTAAATTTAAACTTTTTCTTTGGTGTGTATTTTATCATACCTTTGTTTTGTGCTCAGTTTGTTGCTGAAATACAAAAGATTGAAGTAATGAAGATTGAAATAAAAATTAAGATAAAGGCTGAGCCTTGGTCATACAGTAGGAATTTCCATTTCCATTTTTCAATCTGGACAGTCAGATTTTGTAAAAAAAAATGACTTTGTTTTGTAAAGACCATAACTTGAATTGTCTTAGATGACTTGTGCTAAAGAAACTCTTTTGTCACGACACCAACTGCAGGTTTAGTTAAAATAATAAATTCATTACTTGTGCTTGAATACCTTACACATGGACAGAACATATTGCAGGTGGGAATCGGGATGTTGTATTTGATATGATAAAACATTATTGATCGAATTTCAATTTTGATGACTAATCCATGTTCCATAAAGATAGTTATTATAACTAAAATATATTTTCCAATTATTTTGTATTTATTTTATAATTTTAGATTATTTTATGTATTCTTTCCATAAACAGAAACAGGTCAAATTTGACCAAAATAAAAATACCAAACTCTATACTTTTATACAATTTATTTGGGATAAAGAATGTCAGAAATAAATTATTATTCCTGAGAGAAAGTAGGAAAAATCAAGAAATTTACTTAAATGTACTTGTATAATAAACATTTTATACAATACTTAATAATACAACAGCTGTCTTAATAATACAATAGTAGCTGTCTGCATATTTGCCAAAAATTGACAGAGGTTCTCCCATTTATTGGCTTTATTCTTAAAGGTTTTGAAGTGTGTGGTTTCGAACGTTTCTTTGTGCATCATTTACTAATTAAGGGTGAAGTTCTAGAACACTGTTTAGCACTGTTCCTCTTAAAACTATTTTGTGCTTTATCTTTAATCAATTTGTACAATCTTGTTTGTGGTTTTGAAAAGTCCACACACCTTGTATGTTACAGTTTTCAAGACAAACACTTCTTACAGTTTGGATAAATACACAAATGATAGGATCTAGAAAGTTAAAAGAGCAATTTCCATCTTAATGGTCTAAAGTTATTACAGCAGTATTTTTTATCTTTAAGAACACTATCAATGTGCAAATGGCTAGATAATTTTATTATACGATACCAAATCTAATATCAACAAAATGTCTTCAACATCTGCGTGAGCAGAGCTACAGTAAAATACCTCAAAGAAAGTTACCATTAAAGCTATCACTAATTCAACTTTTAGCATCACCACTCACAATGTTTCCATCACTCAAGATCTTTATGACTTACTGTAACTTTCCTTTAAGACTTAAAAGCTAACTGTAGCATAGGGCTCTTGAATATGGGTTCGTTTTCAAAGCGTTAAGATTTAGGAGAGCAGCTCGTATGAGATTACCGAGAGGGTCAAGAAGTTAAGGATGAGTAGATAATTAAATCAACATGATCTTATCCTTGTATTTTAAATGTGGTTTCAGTTTTAAGTTGGCACTGGATATAACTATAACTCCTCAGTTGTAGTTAGGAAGGACATAAGAGATGTTGAAGAATGTTTCTTAACTTGTGATCACTTACATTGGTTGTTAGACACAGAACTGCTGACAAAAAGACAACTCATGCAGACTAATTTCTTAAATATCCAACTACTTCAATTATCTATTGAATTTATCATTTCAGAAAGGGGAATTGGTTACTTTTTGTTTATGGTTTGGCACGATTCATGTT